ACTCCCACCGCACTAACTGAATGTTTTTATTTGTGTTCCAGGCATAAATATATGCTGATCCTCTTCTAATTATCGAAATGTTTTCACTGACATCTCATTGATTTGTATTGGCTAAAAGGCTCAGAGTCATTCACAGATTTAAAAGGATGTTTACATTTCTTTCTTTTTTGTTTTTTTGTTTTTTACCCAGGACCTTTACTTTGGATCCATCAATAACACATCAGCACTGAACCATCACAAGGCTCAGCACTAAGTCCAAGATGGCCACTTCTATGCATCCCCTCGTGATAGGTTTCTCACTGGCTGTTCTCCTGGGTCTGACCCGTCTAGGTGGACTGAACTCTCAGCCATCAGGTCAGGCTTCAGCCCAGGTCTCTACCAACAACGACACGACACAGGCCTCGATGCTACCTGAAGCAGCTTTGGTGACGCCCACACCAGACACGAAGGACCAAACAGTTCCAACTGGCACTAACAGATGCTGGGGTTACTATGATGTCATGGGCCAATGGGACCCGCCATTCAACTGTAACGCAGGAATCTACATGTTCTGTTGTGGTTCCTGCTACTACCGCTTCTGCTGCCAGTTCAAAGTTCACAGTTTGGACCAGACCTCTTGTTCCAACTATGATACGCCTGTGTGGGCCAACACCAGGCGACCAGTGGCACCTGTCACAGAGGTCCACCAGGAACCAGACCGGGACCAAACCCACATGATTGTGTATATTATCTGTGGAGTGGTGGCCATCATGGTGCTGGTCGGGATTTTCACCAAGCTCGGGCTGGAGAAGAGTCAGGGAGTACAGACGGACATGACCAACTCCAGGTACAGTAGGAACTGAGAGATGGAAGGATGATGTTGGGTGTGGATGGAGGTGGTGATGTTTGGCTAGGTGATAAATATTATTTGCATAGGGTCTGAGAACAAAGATAACACCACTGAAACTCCCCATGGCTGTCACAAGCAGAGGTTTACATGGGTTTTTGGGCAGCAGGAAAGGGACTTAAGGGACTCTGAAGGTACACAGGTCACACCATGTTGGATGTTCTGGAGGGAGGTGCTGTATTTACCTGCATATATTTTTGTTTTGTTTGGCTAAAAAGTTGCTTAAACACTTTAGATCTCACTTTACTGACTGTAGTAATTCAGAATGCATAATCTTAGCTGACTGTATATAACTTGTAGCAAACCTAGAGATCCCGTCTACGAGGGCGACAGACTGAAAAATTACTCTGCACCCTGATCTCAGCCCTCGGTTCGGGAGCTAATGCTAGCTAGCAGCTGTACACAGGTAACACGAACACTGCAGATGAATCGATTTCTGTCCTGTCACTGCTCAAACTGAACACTAAAGTGGACGATTGGACGTAGTCGAAGCGACTGCTACTGTATGTAGTTGCATAGGATAGTATCCTATAAAATTAACTTAGAGATGTATGTAGCGTATATCTCTATGACTGATAGTGAGCGTGATGCTCCAAACATGATGCATTTACATTCATTCTCTTATTTAGGCATTTAAGTGGCATGGGTTATGTAACTCTCTGCAAGTATATATCCTGAACAGTATGTTAAACTATTCAAAAGAAAGCAGAGACTGAATTAAATGTACAAACAGAAAACTTGGTCTGCACCTGTATGGTCTACATTTCAGTTCAGGCTAAGTACCATATGTGCATGCACGTTTCAGTGTGCGAGTAACTTCAAGCGTAATTGCTTGCATGTGTGTGGGTGAGGAGGTCACCAGCTGGGTGATGAATCATAGTGAGGTGATAATGGGTGTGATGTCTGTTTGAAACCATAAGGGAGCAATGGACATGGTGAGAGAGATGGAGGTGAGGCAGTGATATGGAGGGACAGATGTTTGAAGAGAACTACTGTGCAGCTGTTTCTCTGTATTGGTATAGCTGTGTCGTGCTGATGGATGATTGATTGTTGTGACACAACTCTGACTGTGGTAGTGAGCAGCCTCCAGTAAACAGGAGGAGAGAGAGGGTGGTTTTTAGAAGGGGGTACTGAGCAGATCTGATTGGAGCACAATCAGTGGCTAATTCTAGTGCGTGTGTTTGTATCTGTTTGTGTGAGAGAGGAAGAGGGAGAGACGGTGTGTGTGCTGGGTGTGACTGGCCAGCCCGTCGGGTGTTAAGAGTCGGGCCACGGGGGCTCCTTTAAAATTCTGTCATTACCAGACCTGCTCTCAGCCTTCCAGGGGAGGGTGAGAAAGGGAGGAGGAGGAGAAAGAGGAGGGTAGCATCAACACCCACTAAAGTTGTAGTGCACTAGGCCACCCATAACACAATGAAAGGTGGCAGCTCCTGGCACATTTTGTCCCCTGAATCAAAAGAATATATGAATTTTGGATCAAGGGGTTGTTTGGGAGATGATCTTGATTTGTAATTGTCACTAGATGCAGGCCACAGTGTCACAAGAAGTTTTCAGTATTTGTCTTTGAGGCTTACCAGAGGTGAAACGTATCTTCAGTCAGCAGGACTGAGCCTCCCCGACATCTGTCCTGGAGCAAGAGAGTGAAACTCCACTCACTTTGACCTTCCTGGATAAAACCAGGTGTTTAATTATGACAGGAGCAAAGTCCAATGACAAGTTATATATAGTGACAAAGTCCACACAGGGAGGACAGTGGGGACGGGTGGGCAAGACAACACAGGACTTGTACACAGGAGACCACTGTCAAACTATTAGCTGTTTCTTTAAACCTCGACCGTTTCACGACCTTAACTATGGGTTTTACTGTGGTAACAGTGATGAACATCCTTTAACCTTAATGAAGACGTACTTTAACCTAAACCATGATCTTTTCCTACATTTAACCAAGTTGTTTTTGTGACTCATGCTCATTAGCTGTTTTCTGAATTTGCCACTTTATGTGCAGAATGAACCAGCTGTTTGTCACATTATGCACGTGCATCACATTTTTATAATTTATCATCAGTCTACATATGATTGACAGCAGGACACGTTCAGTTTGAAAGTGGACATACAGTCTGTGTGTTTACACGTGTTTGTGCAGTCAACAAATAAATCCAGTCACAAAGCTGTTATTGTGGTAATGTACTAAAGCTCTGGGTCCGGCAATCACAACAGGCAGCGGAGCAGTGATGAATAATACAAAACACACACACGAACTTCTCATTATAGCTGCATGGTATCCCCACTGTGTCCCGTTCACTGCAGTGCTTCTCGTCTCCAAAGCGGCTGTTTGTGTTTTTGTTCTGCTCTGTCTTTCTGCTGCTGCGTCTGCACTGTGGGACCTGCTGCAAAGCAAAGCTAAAAATGAATTAAATCCTTTGATACATGATTCAGCAGCGAGAATGAATATGCCAAATCAAGTTTTTCCACAAAATAATAATAGACTGCATTAATGTTGTCATTAACTTTGGTGGAGTTCTTGCAATTCCGCCTGCAAATGTAAGAAATGATCCGATGGATCGTATGAAAGGGAAGTAGCAAACACAACGTGTGGGTCATATAGGTCGTATAGGACTTGTGTGTTACCTCATTTAGACAACTGATCATGTTTGGAAGGGCTTTTGTGATTTGGATTGGTGAAAGAAGTGACCACTTCATAGCCAGATTAATACATTCACTCACATGCACACGCAGCATGACGTCTCTCTCATTCCCTTTTAACGGCATCGTACCACTTATCCTAAGTTATTCCTCTGAAGAGCAATGTGTTCAAGGGCACAGGCAATTGAGTGACCCGCTGGGGCTGTGAACAACCGTTTCCAGCGGCCGCTCTCTTCCTTTACTGTATTGTGTTTCATCAGCAGTGCTTTCTATATCCTTTATTGTTCAGCCGCAGTGGCGCATTTCATCACTGCCTGTGACAGGTGTTTAGAGCCAAGGCACAAACAAGTGCGTGCAGGGCTGCTTTTCTGAAACCGTTACAGCTGTGGCCAGATGAATCGATGGAACGTTTCACTGAATTATGTAGTCTGAAATGAAGGTTTTATATGTGTGTGTGCATTTCTGGGGTGGCATAACATGGACAATGGGCTTTAACAAATGTTACCACACACCAAGAAGATGTTGATTAAAAATGCCATCAAATGAATAATTACTGAAAAGATGACTTCCTCCCTGTGTGCTTGATCTCAACCCAGAATAAACTTTGTGATGCTGATGAACGAAAAATATACAGTACCCTCCCAGAGTGTATAGTTAAATCAGCAAGGGATTATTGTGTATGAAGGCCATGATATGCTCACCCCTGGACATAGTGTAGCACTGTGTTCCCGATAGCTAGGGCCAGATTCTAGGTTCCGAGGAACAGCCTGAATAAACTAGTTATAGAACAACAAACCACAGACCCAGTATGAAGATTTAGAAATGCCGGCTTTTTTTTCCCCAAGTTGCAATTTTTTTCTCTTGTTTACCTTAACCATATAACAGTTTATAATTTGTAATTCCACTGTATCACAATTATAAACTACTTCCAATGAGGTAACATCTAAATAACTCTGGTCGATGATTCCGACCTCCCAGAAAGTTCAATGTAATGTCTCTTTAACCATGTAAGTCCCGTAGTTTGTAGCAAGGTTAGATCCTACCACAATTCAGGAATTGAAAAGTCATGTGATGTCCTTTTCCCTCAAGAACGGTGGGTTTGCACCATTAAGATGAAAGGTCTTCCATGTATGGTCCTCTCTATGGGTGGCTCGCCATCTGGTGTCCAAGGTCAGTGTGCAACACTGGCAGGTCTTCAACCTCAACTAAAATGGCCAAGTCCTCGTTCTTAACATACAAAACAAAACTACTCCACGGTGGAACAGGAGGAAAAAAAAAATACAGTAATGTCCAAAAATTTGTGGATACTCAAAACAAGAAAGTTTTCAATCACTTTTCCTTCATTTTCTATCCAACTATCGTCTCCTTATTTCTACCGATTCAATTGCTCTGTTTTTTTCCTTTCTTCTTTTTTTTCCCGTATAAGCTAAATCTTCACTGATTGGCTCATTCTGTCACATGACTCTGTCACGCCCTTAAGGAGTATGACAACCATTCTTTTTTTTTCTTTCATATCAAGAATACAATTAAAACATACGTGACAATCTATCCCTTCTTTATATTGACATTACTAATCTGCCTTTTAAATGTTTATATTGACCTGGGTTACAATAGGAATAAAGCTTAACCTCTCACACTAAGGTGGCATATTTGAAACATATTAAAGCTCCAAACACTGCTTGAGGTTTTATGATGGAGCTATTCACTCAGTAATTGAGTACCATGAACCTGCGAACAGAGTTCCCTGCAGACCTCCCTCTTTCATGTTGTTAATTCAGGATAAGACCCCAAACCTCCCAAATAATAACAATCTGTAGTTATTGTGGCAGCTACCTCCTTAAACCCTCAGATGTTACTGTACTGGGAAATTTATATAAACCAGGATACTCTGGCTCCTTGTTTTGTTTTGTCTGAAATAACCAATGAAAGCTGTCACTGGACACTGAAGACCATATTTGTTTTGCACAATATTTAGTTGACATAAGATGTTAAGGATAGGATATTTAAAGAATAGTGTGCATTATGTAACAACTGGATATTTTAGATAAAATCTTTTATGATATAACTTCTTTCTCACAGCCAGCCGGTTTATACAGAATTCACCCAAGCAACAAGCCCAATCAGAAAAGCTTGTGTTCTCACTGTGAGGTATCCGCAGCCAGGCAGCTTGTTAACACCGCGGGGTTACCATGGCCTGTTTTAACTTTCTGAGACACTGTTGAGAAGGTTGGCATACTATCAATACTGTTGATTGTTAAACTATATAATTAAATTTATTATCAAGTTGTGTTCTAAGA